TCTCTCTTTCTATATATATATATTTTTTTATTAATATATTATTAATATAAATATATTAAAAAAAAATATATATATATAGAAAGAGAGAGAGGACCCTTAAATGCTGTGGGCAATTCCACCTGTCATCCCATGGAAGTAGCAGAGAGCCTGAGAATGCAGATGTGATTCAGATGTGCCTTCAGGTGCTTCTGGGTCTCTCACAGTTGAAGGCTAGCTCCCTGCGGTGTCACACCAGTGTTCACAGATACCATTGGTCTTTCTTGTGCATTGCTCCTAACTACAAATCAGATCCTTCTTCTTCTGCTCCAACGCTGGATGAAGTACTGCAGTCTTGAATTTACTGAGAGCTTGTCTCCAAAGTGACATTTTCCTAAGGGATTTTTCAAGGGAAAATTTGACATGAAGCCATTTTTGCCTTATATGCTGACTTTTGTGCCTAACCCATGAGTGAGACAGACTTCTGTTTATCCCTAGTGAATAGTTTTCTTGTTTATACATAATGGTCAGTTCTATGATAGCAGAATCCATTTTATGAGCTCTGGCTCTAGACGCAGGTCTGTTGAATAAAACTGTGGTGTTGGAGAGGTTCTATCTATAATCTGCACTGTCCAGTATGGGCTGTGAAGCACTTCACATGTGGCTAGTGCCACTGAGGAACTGAATTTTAAATTTTATTTAATTTTCATTAACAACTTTAAAGAGCCACATGTAGCTCATGGTTACCATATTGGACAGTTCAGGTCATCAGGCCCTGTTGGGCTTATGTTTGGTCTAGATCTCCAGGGAACATTGTAGGTAGCAGAAGTTCCTGCTTGAACCTAAGCCATGTTCACCCTCAAATTCAGGAAAGTCTAGGCACCTCCTCAAGGCTAGTAGAGTAGTGGAGGCCTATTCATAGAAGAGACCAAGGTGCCCTTGGGAAAGAACTCACTCCAGGGGGAAAAAATGTCCACAAGGTGGTTTGTTTCAAGAAGACAGGCAAGCTTCAGAAGAAAGTGGCAGCTCTGTGGTCATTTCTGTGTTGTCACTGACATTGTCCCAGGCCCAGCTCAATGGAGGCATTCCTGAATCTCAGAACAAGGGGCTGCAATACACACCCTGCACCCCGTGAACCCCATTCCCTGGAGCATTGAAGGACAAGGCAGCGGCAGCGCAGGGAGCATTCAGTCACCCATTCGGCCAACATTTCCTGAGCTTCTCCTAAGTGCCAGGCATGGTGCCAGATGCCAGCAGCGTTGACAGCTGCTGCAGCACCTGCCTGGGCCTCAGCCTTCAGCAACCTCTGTACAGTTGTCAGCAGTGACACTGATGCCACTGACGAGCATCAGGGGCACCGCTGTCCATTTCGGAACTGCAGTGATGATCAGAAGCATTTTTTCTTTTTATGATTAACACCACTGTGTTTATGTGTTTGTTTAACATGTAAGTGGCTGGTCTCCTGTGAACAGCCTTGGGTTCACCTGAAGTCAGTCTTGAAGGAAGGCATATTCTCCTTTGTCTTATCTTCAAAAAGCCAACCTACTCCAGAAAGCATCAGAAAGCAAGAGATTTTACTGGGAGGAAGAGCATTTTACCACACATTACTTGAGAAACAAAGGAATAAAAATCCCTGTTAGATATTTTTTCTCCCCAAATTCTTCTTTAGCTTGTAGCCTTCTCCAACCCTCTCCTTGGCTGCTTCTTAAATCTCCCTAATTCCCTTCCTAGGCAGAGCTATTTGACCTGTACCAGCTCTCCCAGGGGGATTTTTAAAGCATTCATCCAGCAAAGGTCATTTCCTCCACAGGGGAGATTCTGCCCCTAAGAGAAATAAGAATTCTCTATCATTTCAATTTCTAGTTTCTTTAACACCCTGTGTCATTTTCCAGAAGAACTCAAGGCAGCCAAAAAGTGAGGACATCAAGACGGGTGGGGAGGAAAATGCCAGAACCTTCTGGCTCTTTCTATCTTCAAGACTCAGGTTTAATGTTTCCTCTGCAACTTCCCCAACAAATTAATTTTAAAGAAGATGCCTCCTGGCTCTCAATGTTCTTTTACCTGTTTGTCTCCTTGCTTAATGTTCATCTCTCCTGCCAAATGATCATTTCCGTCAGGGCAGGTACCATACTGATCGTGTTCACTACTGCATCCCAAGCACGTAGGTTGGGGCTTGTCACAATAAATAATGAATGGATGTCTGTCAGATGAATGAATGGTAGACAGATGCAGTATTCGTTATCTACTGCTGGGCAACAAACTATCCCAAAATTTATAGGCTTAAAACAACAATGAACAATGATTATCTCATACAGTTTCTGCTGGTCAGGAATCTAGGAGCAGATTTACTGGGTGTTTCTAACTCAGGGTCTCTTACGATGTGACAGTTAAACTACCTGCCAGCGCTGCAGTCATCTGAAGGCTTGGTTGGGGCTCCATAATGAGTGCCTTCTTTGTATCTGGAAACATTTTTGAGGGGAATCAATTTCTCTTTACTCAGAGGTACTGTGCAAAGGAAAAGAGCATTAGGACAGACAGAAGGGCCTTACCAGCTCTAAGATCCCACCACTTACCAGCTCTATGATCTCTTTGTATAAGTTTTGACAAGTCTGACCCTCATTTTTCTCTTCTGTAACATGGGGTTGCACAAATCTTCTTTGCAAGACACTCGTAAGGATTAAGCAAAAGAAGGCTCATAAGGCAGAGTGCCCAGTGTGTAATAAGAGCTTAATAAATGGTTGCTGTTAGAACTACATCAGAGTGACGTCTCCCTCACCTGATGTTTTATACTCTGGACCTCAGCTTAGCAGTTCTGAGGCTACCTGAATAGTGGAGCTGGCAAGGTTCTCTTGTTGCCGATGAGAAAAACAAGTCCAGAGCACTCAGGGGGCTTGTCTTCACTGCTTGCTGCGATCCTGAGCAGGGCTCTCCGAGGACACTGGGCAGGAATCAGTTCAGGAAGGGAGGGTCACCAGCAGCTACTGCTAGAGGCAAAATAACCACTTAGGCCTGAATGAGCTTGCTCGGCTGTGATTCTGGGGAATCCTGAGAGCCTTACTAATCATCCCGTCTTGTTATTGTTGTTGTTTGGGTTTTCTAGGTTTTGTTTTGGTTTTTGTTTGTTATGGTGTTTTGTGGGGAGGGGGGTTGTTCATTTACATTTTTTACGGTTTTCCTCACTGGGCAGGCTCCTCCTTTGATTATTCAACCAGGCTGTCACATCCTACTTTCTGGGTAGACGTTCAGCCATTTGCAAATGTGAGACTATGAGACGGTTTGCATTCGCTGGGGTTCAGACTGCCTTCCATTCACCTGAATGGCTTCCATCTTTAACCCAAAGAGCACACACTTCTATTTTGAAGCCATTCTAGAACCTATGACAAACCACCCAGGGCTCTAGAGGAGAAAGGGGCCAGATTTTCTCTTTCCCAGAAAAAGTAACTCCCTGGTTAAGCAATGAACAAAGCACTGGACACTTTTTAGGTCAGAAGGGTAGGATGGAGTGCTCTGAACAGGCTTTTACGAACAACTCTGTATATGAGACACCACCATGAAAGTTAAAGAGAAAGTTGATCTGTGTTCACACTGCAATAGGATCAAGGTCCAGCCCGCTCCACCCATGGCCTAAAAGAGGGAAAACTTCTACTTATGCGTGAATTTGTACAAGTGGGGTGTCTATACCAGGAGAGCACCACTGAGACTAGCAAGTTCTGGGCAGCTGCTTGTTTGCAATGAGTGGTGGACACCACAAAATCAGGCTCCACCACATCACTCACCCACCTGATGCAGGGTGTGCTGTTCCCACCAGGAGAGTCACTCTGGAGACGTGGCCCTCCCTCTAGAAGGCACCTGGGAAGAATTCAAAGAAAATGTCTGGAAGGACAGCATATTCGCCCTGCAGGACTGGGACTTGGAAGGCTGGTTCTAAGGTGAGAGAGGGAACTGACAGCAAGCATAGATCATTCTTAAAGTGATCTGATATTGCCATTTTAGAAAACTAAGGCCCAGGGAGATGAAGTTGACTGCTTAAAATCACAGTTTGCCATAATCCTGCTTCCTAGGCCAGGACTCTGCAGGAGAAAAACCAGGAGCAGGAGAAGGCAGCGTGAGAAGTAGAGGTGAGATGGGAGTTTCCGAGGCTGCTGGAGAGGCACTGAAAGGCAGGGAGCTGGGCACTCCAGATACTTCACGTGTTTTCCAGGGATTATCCCAGTTTAGAGAGGATAATGAAGGCAACCTTCCAAGAAATTGAATTTTGCTTCAAGCATAAGGAAAAAAGATGCAGAAATAGAGAAGGGCCTATTCAATTTAGTTAGATGCCCAAAAAAGAGAAGGGCTGAGATGAAGTACTGTCTGGTGACCTTGGGAGGCTGTATGCAAATACAGTAGTCTGATGGAAGAATTGCAGGCAGTTCAGATCCATAGAGCTGTTTCCAGCAGAAAGTATGTTTTAAGTGAATAGAGATAAATTGATCATCTGTGGTATCTAAGAATGACATGGTTATCCAAAGACAGGTGCCAAAGGCCAACTTTGCCAGGCATGCCCACCACCCACACTCCCAACAGCCATTGGCTTGCAGAGATGACTCACCCATGGGTCCTGAGATTCTCCACCTTGCAGAGGACTGCTCATCCCTATGAAATGGGGAAGGGCAAGAGTCCCTAAGGGCCTCCGTATTAGGTCAGCAAATGGGAATATGGACCATGAGAGGAATGGAGTGGGGACAATAAGGAGGATGAGGATGCTGGACCCCAAGTTCCCCTAAATGTATTGGGATCGCACTCATACGCTGAAGCAGGTACCTGAACAGTCCATGTGGAGGAGGGACAGTGCATGTATTTGGCTCCCTGGCGGGCAGGAAGCTGAACTGAGGCTGAACTGCAGAGTCGAGCCTGCGGCATCTGTGACCATCATGAAGGCTGAGGAGAGCAGAGAGAGGGCACTGATTTCTGCAGTGCCACATACCTGCTATTGGGGCATGCATGGTTCTGCGAGGTAGACTCTTGTCCTCACAGCCAGACCCTCCAGTTTCTGGCCTCCTCTTCACCACCACACGCCCAAGAGGATGAGCGTCCTCCTTCCAATAACAGACCAGTAATTTAATGTGGGAGTTGTGGGTAGTAGTAGACACCAAGGCCAAGTGGAACCTGGCTTGGATCTGCTGCTAGGGAACTTTCTCTCCATCGCAGCCCACCCACTCCCCCGGCCCTCTTCACTTTAGACCGTGTGCTGCAGCCATAAACAGCCCTTGAGTTTTAGTGACTGAAAACACAAAGGTTTACCTCATGCTCATCACTACGTGTCTCTCTCAGGTCGGTGGAGAGTGTTGGGCTCTGCATCATCTTCATTTAAAGATCCAGGCTGATGGAGCCTCCATCGTTTAGAAAGCCACCAGTCACCCTGGCAGTAAGCACTCAATAAATGGACCTAGCGTTCTCATTCTGGAGTTGGTTCTGTTGAAGATGATGTAATCAGGGATAGGGAGGATGAGCATATTCAGCACAGGGCAGTGGGAAAGCCAAACAACAAAGGTTCAGGAGACTGATTCCCCCTTTTGAAACTGCCAGTTTCTGCTATGTGACCTAGGACACCTCAAACATGTTATGAACTGTTTCTGTGGCCTTGATTTTGGTCACTGTGACGATTAAATTATCCTCAGTGTGAGTGTGCATTAAGATGTAGTCTTTGACCATAAAAAGAAATGAAATTCAGTTATTTGTAGTGAGGTGGGTGGACCTAGAGACTGTCATACAGAGTGAAGTAAGTCAGAAAGAGAAAAACAAATACCGTATGCTAACACATATATATATATGGAATCTAAAAAAAAAAAAAGGTTCTGAAGAACCTAGGGGCAGGACAGGAGTAAAGACGCAGACATAGAGAATGGACTTGAGGACACAGGGAGGGGGAAGGATAAGCTGGGACGAAGTGAGAGAGTGGCATGGACTTATATATACTACCAAACGTAAAACAGATAGCTAGTGGGAAGCAGACACACAGCACAGGGAGATCAGCTCCGTGCTTTGCGTCCACCTAGAGGGGTGGGATAGGGAGGGTGGGAGGGAGACACAAGAGGGAGGAGATATGGGGATATATGTTTATGTATAGCTGATTCACTTTGTTATAAAGCAGAAACTAACACACCATTGTAAAGCAATTATACTCCAATAAAGATGTTAAAAAATTATTTTTAAAGATGTAGGCTTTGTCATCAGGCATAACACATTCTGGCTCTCAGTTCATTGGTGATTCTCAGGTCATTGGTGATGAGCCTGGTCATCTAGAGCTTTGGCCCAAGCAGGACTCAGGCTCCCCTCCATTCCCAGGTGGGAAGGAGCCAGGTGGCAGCCTTGTGTGGTCCTCGGACTCACGCTACACTCACTTGATCAACGAGAAATACCTGTAGCCATAGTATCCTGTGGCCTCTGGTCTCAAAAGGGTTCAATTTCTGCTGAAAACACTGTAAAAAGAAATCTCTCTGCTTGTCAAACAACACTTTGTAAGCTTCAGAGGGTGTGGACACTGAGACTTCCTTTCTTCTGTTCCTTTTCTGAAATGCAAAGGGCAGCTGATGGGCCAAGAGGCTGTTCCAGATCAAAGCCCTCCTGACAAGCTTCCCACGGACTTGCCAGCACACAGCCTCCTGAAGCACCAAGATTGCCCGGGCCAGTCTTTCCAGTCAGGAGTCTCACCTGGACAGGAAGAACAGACAGGCTTCCTAAAAGCATTTGATAAAGCAGAAGAGAACACTTTTTAAAAATCAGACCTTTAAAAAGAGACGCTCTCAAACAGCGCTAGGAGAAGCATGCATTGGAGAGCCTGGTTGGCAAGACATTTGGCAAAAAGTATCAAAAGCATCAAAAGTGCATCTGCCATTTGAGCTGGGAATTCCACTTCCAGGAACTTACCCCAAGGAAACAGTCTAAGATATGCCTAAAGACTGAGATGCCAGGGAATACATTACAGCCTATTTAGAATAGGGAAAAAGCTGGAAACAACTTAAAGGAGAGCAGCTTCAATAAATAAGTGTGATCATAAGGGGAATCTTACCTAGGCTGCCACTACAAGTGATGCCCCAAAATATTGTAAAATGAAAGAAAGGAGAAAAGAAAGGTGGGGGGAGAGGGAGAGGAAGGAAGGGAACAAACGAAATAGTATGTACCATAAAATCTTATTTTTGTAAAAATGTATGAAGGACACATTTCAAGAGGTAGTTGTGGGATTATGTGTAAATTTTATTGTCTTCCTTTTGCTGCTCAGTACGTTCTAATTTTTCTTTTCTTTCTTTTTTTTATTAATTTATCTTCAGGAAACATAAATACATTCAATCTTTCAACAAATATGTATTGAGTAACTACTAGGTATCAAGGGCTGTGCTAGGTTGGTACTGAGAGATAAGATTCCTGTCCACCAGAACTTTTGGTTTATTAATACTTGTACAATTTTTTTTAATTTTTAATTGTATCATTTAGTACTATAGTACAAATAGTACTAATCATACTACTTAGGTAATTTTCAGTCTAGAGTCCAGAAGGTGAGTTATACCAGAGGCTCTCCAAACGTTTTAGTCTACAAAGCACCTTGCAATGCTGAAACCCGTGGCCCTCCTGCCTCTTTCTCCCACACCCTATTCCTGCTTGTCATGACAAACCAAGCAAAAGTTTTGGCAGGGCAGTAGGGAAAGCAAGACCTGCTTTTAGAGAAGGCTATACTTTTGTTAAATATCAAAAGGCATTACTAATTTGTGTGGAAAGCAGGATACCTGTGGTGAGAGATGGAACAATGGGATGAAGAGAAAGGGTGGCTGTGGTACCAGCCCTGCTGAGGCGTCTGGGTGGCTTTCAGAAAGTCATTAACGTCTCTGTGCCACACTTCCCTTGTGGGAACGTCTGCCCTGCCTGTATGTCTAATCGTATGAAAAGAGGAAAACATACCTGCCCTGTCTACCTGCATGGGGAGTTGCCCCAGGATGGGCCATGTTTATATCCCGTGGCCACAGCTGGTTGGACTGGGAGTGGACACCACCCTCACCCAGGCACAATCAGACTTCCTCTCCTGGGATTTTAGAATAAGCACCAGGAGGTTCAGGCTCAGTCTGGGTTCATTTTTTTTTTTTTTTAACTTTACTCTTTGTATTAATACATCCCAACCTTTTTATTTTATTTTTTTACTGGAGTATAATTGTTGTGTTAGTTTCTGCTGTATAACAAAGTGAATCAGCTGTATGTATACATATGTCCCCATATACCCTCCCTCTTGGGCCTCCCTCCCACCCTGCCTATCCCACCCCTCTAGGTGGTCACAAAGCTCCGAGCTGATCTCCCTGTGCTATGCGGCTGCTTCCCACTAGCTATCTATTTTACACGCCCTCAAGTCCATTCTCTACGTCTGCATCTTTATTCCTGTCCTGCCACTAGGTTCATCAGAACCTTTTTTTTTTTTTTTTTAGATTCCATATATATGTGTTAGCATATGGTATTTGTTTTCCTCTTTCTGACTTACTTCACTCTGTATGACAGTCTCTAGGTCCACCCACCTCACTACAAATAACTCAATTTCATTTCTTTTTATGGCTGAGTAATATTCCATTGTATATATGTGCCACATCTTTATCCATTCATCTGTCAATGTAAGGCCAGACACTATAAAACTCTTAGAGGAAAACATAGGCAGAACACTCTGTGACATAAATCACAGCAAGATCCTTTTTGACCCACCTCCTGGAGTAATGCAAATAAAAACAAAAATAAACAAATGGGACCTAATGAAATTTAAAAGCTTTTGCACAGCAGAGGAAACCATAAGCAAGATGAAAAGACAACCCTCAGAATGGGAGAAAATATTTGCAAATGAATCAACTGACAAAGGATTAATTTCCAAAATATACAAGCAAGTCATGCAGCTCAATATCAAAAAACAAACAACCCAATCCAAAAATGGGCAGAAGACCTAAATAGACATTTCTCCAAAGAAGATATACAGATCTCCAACAAACACATGAAAGGATGCTCAACATCATTAACCATTAGAGAAATGCAAATTAAAACTACAATGAGGTATCACCTCACACCGGTCAGAATGGCCATCATCAAAAAATCTACAAACAGTAAATGCTGGAGAGGGTGTCAAGAAAAGGGAACCCTCTTGCACTGTTGGTGGGAATGTAAATTGATACAGCTACTATGGAGAACAGTATGGAGGTTCCTTAAAAAACTAAAAATAGAACTACCATATGACCCAGCAATCCCACCCCTGGGCATATACCCTGAGAAAACCATAATTCAAAAAGAGTCATGTACCACACTGTTCACGGCAGCTCTATTTACAATAGCCAGGACATGGAAGCAACCTAAATGTCCATCGACAGATGAATGGGTTGATTTTTTGAAAGGAAGAAATGAAAAACCTTAGTTTCTGGGCTTGGCCAGAAAGGAAGCTGGCCAGAGAAGAAGCTGGGCTACAGAAGAACAGAGCAGCTTGCTGGGAGAGGCAGAGCTGAGAGACAATCCTGACGGATTTCCAGTTCCTGAACCCTGGCCTGGCCTGGCCTGAGGCTGAGCTTTATGCCTATCTTCAAGTCTAAGGAAATGCTTTTATCTTTTTACCATAAATTCCCCAATTTTACTCATGCTAGCTTAAATGGTCTCAGCTTCTCATAACTGAAGAGCTCTAATGAATACCCTTGCTCACAAAGCTTCTATGAAAATCAGATAGATTCATTTTACAGAAAACATTTGAAAACTCCTTTTAAAAGACTCCTGAATTTGCAGTTAGGGCAGGATCTCAGGTTCTGACTTTTTTTTTTTAATCCCCAAATTCAAAAAATTCTGATTTCAATCCCACCCTCACCACAGGTTCAAAAGTGCATGTTGTATTCAATGTCTGGGTTTTCAGAGGGGAGTTGCTGTACCACAAAGTAACATGATCCTTGGATTCTGTATTACAGTCGATAACCCTGGCTGCTCTATCAACAGGCCCCCAATTCTCAGTGATTTGCAAAATAAAAAGTTAATGCCCACTTCCTGTCAAAGTTCAAGGGTGTTGGCAAGGAAGCTGTGCTCCACGCCGTTATCTGGGAACCTAGGTTTCTTCTACCAAGTGCTCTTGCCACTTGGCATACCTTACTTCCAGAGTCTCAGAGTTCTCCACCGGATCCTCTGTACCCAGCCAGCAGATAAGGGAAGAGCAAGTGAGAAGACAGAGATCTCCTGGGATGTTGTTAAGAATCCAGGCCTGAAAATGGCAGACTTTATTTCTGTTCATATGCCACTAGTATTCAGAACTCAGTCACGTAGCCCCACCTAACTATGAGAGAGGCTGGGAAAATATAGGCCACCTACATGTCCATAAGGAAAAGGAAATGCTAGTGAACATAGCAGTCTCTGCCTCCATTGTTCAGCCCTTCTTCCCCAAATCCTGTTTGGAGCTGTCTCTGGCCTGCTGTCATGGAA